AATCCAAAAACATGGTAGCTGGTCAAAGTTAGTAAAAGAGATGAGGAACATTACTTTTTAGCTCAGCTCCCAGAATACTGCAGCCTGCCTGCCATTTTGTGATGATGAAAGTTTATAAGAGTAATAAAAAATGACTTTGTTATTGTAGTTTACTGACAGGGATGGGTTTGGGGGGTTTTCTGCCTCATGTACCAAACGAACATGGGTGGTTTGGGGTGACAGTCTGCCAAGATTAGCATTCTGTTTGTATTATCAGGTATCTCTGGAAACTCAATGGAAGATAAACAAACAATAGTATCTGTACACAAACCACAGCGCCCACCTCCATGTTTGAGCCCCACAGGAATTCTGTCTCTGGTGGACACAAGCATTTCCATTTCACTGCTGTTGCTACTTGTTCTCATGGAGGAGAGGGCTGTTCTTGTCCAATCTTTTTCAAAACCACTGAAAAACAGAGGTATTTCCATACCTTGTGGTTTCTAAATTATATATCATGTTTGAGGAGAATTTCCCATGGCCAGTTGTGATCAACTTCCTTCAGCTGACCCACTGGACAGAATCCATCCAGTCAACGTCCCTCTGCCAGTGGAAGGCTTTCCTCAATGAAGTGGGCAAAGGTCTTTTCCTTTCCCGCTCAACAGCCTCTTCAGTGTCTCCCCAGTTCTACTCCACAGATGTCTCCAACTCTTTGGAGGAGATTTGCAGGGACACAGAAAGTGCTAACGGTTACGTTCTTCCCTACCTTACTGCCAGAAGCCTAACATGGGCAGAGAAAAACCAGTTGGACGTCGCCCTCTGAGATCTAATATTATAGTTATGAGATCTAGTCATAATTTTTTTTAAAAAAATGAAGCCTAGATTCTTTACTTTTTCTATGTAGGAGGTGTTCCACATTCTCTGTTGTTTAAGGCAGAGTTCCCATTACCTTTTTAGCACTTTGAGATATTGTTTGAGACTGTGAGACCAGAGACAAGATTTCTGACAAATATTTGAAATTAGATACAGTTGTGGTTTGTGTTTCTGCTCTGCCGAAAACGTACTGTAGTTGGAAATTGGCATTCTAAGCAAGGGAAGAAGGAATGCTTGATGCAGGAACAGTGCCAAAAATGATACATAATTTTTTCTCCACTGGTGGCCCATAACAGAGTGCACTATTGAAGTGCATGGCAAGATGACACTCTGCGAGACAGTGGACGTGCCTAAACGTCCAGAGGATGGGGAGAATCTCCTCTGGTATCACATTTTCACCTGCCATTGGAATAACTCTGTTCTCTCTCATTTTTGCTTTCCGTTTCCCACCCAATATCCATCAGCAAGGATGGAGAATCCACATTTTTCTGCCTGTTGGTTGGTAATGGCAATTGTGGCCAACAGATCAGAAGAGTTTCAAAACTTTTAATGAACTGAGCTAATGAGGGAAGGAAACTAGTTAACGAACCCCTTTTTTAAATTAGTATCTGATCCAGAACCAAACTAGACAATGAAAAAAAATGCTGATGAGCTTGACCCAGAGCAACACTTAATTTTTCGAAGAGGTAGCTGTGTTAGTCTGTGCTAGCATGTCAGGCAAAAACAAATGAAAAATGAAAAAAAAAATTAGATTAAAACGTGCCACCTAAAAGACTAACTGCTATATTTTAATGTGAGCTTTTGTGGACAAATTTGTCAAACGAAATGGACTTGTCTCCAAAAGTTCACATGAAGATATAGTTTTTAAGTTAGTCTTTAAGGTGCCACAATTGTCTTCTTTATTTTTTTTTTCACTTTTCTTTTGTTTTCTCCTGACATCTAATTTTAAAACGCTTTGACTCCAGAATTGTGGAGATGTGCATCTGAGGTGGGCCTTGGGCATGTTAACTGTGGAGGAGGAGCTTCTAGGTACCCAAATGACTCCTTGCCACTTTGCTATGTTTTTTTTTTCTTCCTCATGCTGCCATTTCAGCCCCCCCTCCATAGATCAGAGATCTCAGAAGCACATACAGATCACAACATGCAGGTCTAAGCAAGATGGTTCATGAGGGTGAATCAGGAAATTTGCTGTTAACTGGGGAATAGGAATTTCGTTATTTGCACTCCTTTTCAAGATGACATGAAACTCTTTTGGTTGCAAATAGATTCTTGTTCAGAAAAAGCCCTGTCCTATTCATGGCAAAAATTTGTCTGTTTCTTCCCAAATGACATATACTATATTTTCAAGTCGAACTCTGATACTGTACGAAACTTCTCCCTCCTGCCTCCCAGACACATAATTTTTGATCTGAAATAATGGCTTGGATAGGAATGGGATGATACTACATGAAGCAGGTAAACTGAACCAAGGAAGATAAAATGGCAATAGTGCTCATTCTGAATGGCCATCTCAGCGCTTTGTTTGAGGGCAGGCATTAAATTATTATTTTTTTTGAGAAATACAGGAAATGGTTTTGCAAGTGTCATCAAAGAGGTCTTGCCTTCTCTACCAGGAACATGTGAGGCCATTTCAAAGCCATTCTTGCAAAGAATGAAAGAAAATATGAGCTACTTTTAAATGTGGGTGGCTGGCTGTGCATATAATTTTAAAACACATTGCTTTTTGTAAAAGCCAGTTCTGTCATTGAAAGTTTTAAAAAAAAAGATGTTTCTGACTACTGTCTTTGGCAGTATTTTCAAGCAGGAGAAAGAGCAAGGATGAGAAAGAGTTGCCAGGGGTGGGGGGTGTTGGTTAGACTACAGCTCCTAGAATTCTCCAGCTAAGATGGGCAATTCTGGAAGCTGTAGGCCAGAAAAGTAACTTCCAGTCTCAGGAGGGGGTGGACACAAGGAATTTGGCTTAACCGTAGAGTAAAACTAAGTAACAGCTTTATGTTATGCTCAGCAGTTCAAGAAGTATAGTTTTCATTCAGACATTTACTACTAAAAGACATTATCTATTAAATGAGCAGTATCTACCTATGAAACCCAAAAAAGCCAATCGATAATTAGCTTTAATAAATGATACCTTTAGCTTCTCACAAATTAGTTGCAGCAGCTTTCAGTGGAATGAATTTTAAATCCCAAGTATTTGAGATTTCCTGGATATAACCTGATAATGCTAAAGCTACAATTAATGTTTCTGTCTTTAGTTTTTGACAAGTATTCATCAAACTGTACATATAAATGAATCCAATCTCTTTGCAAGAATCCAGCACAAAGTTTGCAGTGATTGAACCCAACTTAAAATAGAGTTTAAGAAGCTTATAATTGTGGTAGACTGTCTGTGTGAGAGAGATTTGTCATAATCTGATACATATAACAAAATTATGTGTGCATAGTCAATGTAACAAACAGAATGCATATGAAATATTAGTCATACATATACAGTAGTGTACTAATATACAATGTGAAATTTATCATTATATGGCAAAACAATAGGACATTACATTTTTCCAGGAAACGGCATCTATGTAATGCTAAATTATGTTGACTCTAGGATCTGTTTCAAATACTGTAAATATTTCCAGTAACTGAGGAGATGGGAAGAGACAATCATTGTCACATTTTATTTGTGGCAACTTTACAGGCACTTTTTTCATAGATTTTTATATGGAAGGAAGGTGTTCTTAGATGTGCAGCCTGGCTGGTCCATAGAAGTTATGTCCATGCCGTGGGAACTACGGCCTCCCATGATGTGTACTGACACTGAAGCAAAAAATGGGTGCAGTTGTCACACATGACCATCTACACTCAGTTTTCACTTTTTTTCTGGACGGAAGTCCTTGCCATGGAGGAAGTGTGTAATGCTTGAAAAGGCCCCTTACTGAAACAACTTTTAGTCCAGGGGAAAAAAATGTCACTCTCCCTGTTTGCCTCTCCTGCTTCCAAAATGTCGAGATATATTTCTCGACATTTTGGATATATTTATGAATTGACGTAAGGCTGCATCATAGCCAGAAAAATAAAGTCCAACTGTTAATCAGTGCTTCTCATTCCAGATATAGTATTACAGACACATCTCATGTAGATGACTATATGTGATCATAAATTATACAATTGCACATCTAAATTTGAAAGATACAGTTACAGATTAAAAAATGCTGTGTCACTTCAACAGGGAACACTAACGAGCCTTTGAACTGATGTTATGAAACATAATGAAATAAATAATAATTACTTGGTTTTACTACGAATTTAACTCTTAAATCATTTGGTTAATGCAGTACGATAAGGGCTGCAATTGCCTAGTAAATGAGAGTATCAGAGCAGATTAAATGATAACATGATAATAGCAAGATAAACTAAGAGAATACAGGAGAATTCAAAAAGGAAATATGCAGGTGGATGTTTTAAATCTATTGATTATAGTAATTGTTCAATTCTAATTATCATACTAGACCCCCCCCCCAAGACAGGGAATTCTTGGAATTAATTCACGTTGCTTGAGGAATGTCACTCTATTCTGTAAAGTGATAATTTGGATTTTATTGTGAAATCTCTTTGGATCAGGTTGTATTCTTAGGACTGCTATGAAAATTTCATTATATGTATATGTTATGGACCATACAAATGCTATTTTCCATAAATGGATTTCCAGCAGTGGAAGGAAAAAATCATAATAGTTCATAAGGAGCAAAAAGTTACAACATTAAAAATACAATATGAAGAAGAATATTCCTGTTTACCAGCTTCCTAGACACTGTTACTCTGCATTGCCTGATACGGTATTGAAATTACAGTAAAAGTGTACAAAACATTTTGTGTCAGGTCATACAGGTCTTTATGTACCAGAGAGAGAGGGGAACACAGGGTGTTAAATAATATGGAGATAAGAAAGTGTTTTGTGTCAGATCAACAATAAATGACAAGGAAATAAAGCAATGCAAAGTGCTGCCCCTCTGGGTAAGCCATGAGTTGGAAGTGTCCTAACCTTACAAACATGTTTGCTGAAATAAAATGATCACAAAAATCCAGCCCACTTCCTTTCCAAGGAGCACGACCACCATTGCTTCCCCGGCTGCCCCAAATACCCCCCCCCCATTTCTCACCTCTCAGACTTTACCCGTCCAAAATCACCTTTCCTTCTCCAAAGGTCTAAGACCGTCATTTTTGATTTCCCTGTTGCTGAAGGACAAGCAGGAGGTAAAATTCGGCTCGGTTGCTGGAGAATTTCGAAGTGAGATGGACTGTCACCTGATTGCTGGTGGTACAGAGGCCTGGATGGCGAGTTGGGGGAGCATGTAGAACCGGTGCCACGGCAGTCTACCTGAAGAGAGAACAGGCGGTGCTGGCATCCAATCTGAGTGCCTGGAAAATGATGTGACTGGCTGGCATCGTTGGGTAGTTCACCCCCAGAGTCGACCACATGGCCGCTGCCAGCTACCACGCTCGGGGGCCATGATTCATGGCCGCTTCCTCCTCTTTGCCACCACTCCGTTTGCCTTGCCCACAGCTTGCGTGGATAATTATTATTACTATTCGAGTGATGTTAGGGGCATCGAATCAATTAGTCTCCAGCTTTTCCTGCCACCTCATTCCGTACAAATCCCCCTGCGGCCACCTCTCTCTTTTTGACAGGCACTGCTTGGCCACTGGAAGGAGCTGCTTTGAAGAAGGAGCCTGGGCCAAGCCCCCTCCCCACTCCTTCCCCACTCCGCCTCCCCTTCCCTCCCCTGAATGAGAGAGATTTCCTGCCCTCTTTGGACGGGGGATGTTCTGCAGCTTGTAGATAAGCGGCACAGGACTGCCTGCACTGGACTGATAAGGAAACTCCCCAGTCAGACCCAGCCTAAGCAAAGGGGACTTGGAAGGCAAACAAGAGGAAGCCCAGCGTCGTCTACACGCTGGAATAACATAGACTAGTGATCACTAAAGACTGAATGGCACACACATAATAGAGGGAGTTTCGCAAAGCTCAGAACACTTTCATTAGCTACTTTAAACATGCAGCTTGGATGCAAGAAAAAGGAGGGGGGGCAGGTTCCCTTCCTCCTGCCAGCCTGATTTGGGATTCCTTACGGGCACAGTGCCCATCGGCCTCCTGTCAGGCATCACACTGAACTGGTCAGCAGCCAGCACTTCCTTATAGCCATTGGATAGTGTGGAGATCAGGTGGACGATCCTGTGAACCACTGGCTTTGATTCTAAAGGTTGCTTCCAGAGAAAGTGTTTATCCTGTAGTATTCTGCTCCGTTTCCCCCTCCCCTAGGATTCTAGGACTTGGAAGAAATGTGCTACCAGTAAGAAGAACATTACCTCTAACATGTTGCTTTTCAGGGCCATTGGGGTACAATGGGCATTAATTTTGTGAAGAAATGTGACAACCAATAATGTCATTTTTTCTTTACACACTGCCATTTTTCAGAGTAAAAAGGGTATATATATTGCTCATCTTGTATAAAGGCGTGTGGGCAGATCACTTGGAAGAATTTTTGGTCACTTGCTGATTTTTCTAATGTTGAATATGCAAATAGTTAAATGAAAGCACGCACAGAAAAAGTAACACCTTACTAACATGTTGCTCTTAACGTTGTAGATAATGCAACACTTTAAAAAGAATAAATTGCATTAATTTAAAAAATAATATTCTAACCTCTACCTGCTTCAAACACCAAATTTTATGTAAAGTCCATATTTCACTGTCTTCTACTTGTAATATTTTCCTATTGCTTGTTATAGCATTTCTTCTTACCACAAAAATCCATTAACAATGGAAATATGGTATAGGTGCACAGTACGTTAGGATTGCTAATGCTACACATTGTCTCTCTGGACGCCTCCCACAAACCACCTGAAGATTTCAGCAGTTTCTAAAATTTATGTTTGCATCTATGAATGTATGAAGTCATCCTGTGTGAGTTTGAGAGTGCGGTCAGACAATGATTTATGTTGTGTTTTGGACCACTTTTGGCACGGCTTGTTTCAATCTATTTTCTGGTGACTACAAAATATACAGATTCCCTGTATGGTGTAGTGAATGATGTGATGGACTAGCACTCTGGAGAACAGGATTCAAATCTCCACTTGGCCATGGAAACTCACGGGGAGTAGAACTGTTAAATACACTTCTTAAATATCTCACTTACTTTGAAAGCCCCATTAAGCTCAGTATAAGTCAGTTCTGACTTAACAGCACAGAACATACACACACACACATATACACAAAATGTACAGACAATCTCAAACCAGCCCAGCCTTTTTCCATGCTTATCTGCCTCTTTTTAGATTAACTGGCAGCAGCTTTTTTTCTGCAGGGGAACCCTCCAATGGGTTCAGTTTCTGACATGTGTTCTCGCTAGTACTGTACTGTACTGAAAGAAAGTGGCGTCAGTGGGGGTTTCATTTCCCTGGTGCAAGCCAATTCAGTGCTATGCCAGTTCCCAATATTTTTTAAAAAATCCAAACTTTCTCTGTGGAGTGGAAGACAAGAGAGAACATTGGGGCACAGAGGCAGAGACAGGAGAGGGCTAAATACGAGCTTGAGGTACATTGAAGTTTCTTTTCCCATACCCATCCAGTTCCTATGTGTGAACGCAAGGATCGCTCTAAATGCCATACTGCACCATGAAGTGGCCCTGTTGAGCTCTGTGCAGGCAGTCCTCGAGTGCTTATCTACAAGCTGCAGAACATCCAGCCCAGCATAATTTGACATTCTAGTTGCACCCTGAGGCACCCTGGTATGATAATTGCTGCTACATAATTTAAGGCCTGAAAATTAAAGGCAGAAAATTGGCTAAAAGGCACATATCTGGAATACAGTACTAGGATTTTGGACCAAAAAATTGTTTGGTTAGAATATAAATCATAATGCAAGGTGGAATTCAGTAGAGGAAGTAACTGTTATGTCATTGTTCTGAAGGGGTTTATGACAAACATTTGAGAAGCAGACTAGGGATCAGCATGTCTTCTGTTGCTGTTTTCAGCATACACCCACCAGCACACCCACACACACAAAAAGGGGTGATGGAAATGAATGAGCAGGTGGACTAGTGGACTAGCATTCCCACTCCAAACTACTTCTACCAAAATTCCCTCTTCTACATAACTATTAAACATAAAGGAGCCTCACCTTTTTTTAAATGTGGGTACCCCTAATTAAACCACAGAGATGGGAAATACAAAAAGAGGGAAAGGAACAAGATCCTTGTGAAAAGCAAGACTTGGAAAAGGCCACATGCGAACACAAACTTCTGGGGAAAAATCCAAAGCAGGCCCAAGAATCTTTGCTCCTACGCTTTCTGTAATGTTGGGGCTTCTACCGTGAAAGCTTGTTCGAAACAAAAATGGAAGGACTCTCTCGCAGAATGATGATCTCACAGCAGTCTTTGTCATTTTACCAATTCAGGAAGTCCCATGTTCATGCTTAAGAGGAACAATCTCCGCTGGCTCATTTCCCGGTAGTCCTGGCCTGCCACCTCCTGGGGAGGCATCCACAAACCTTTCCAAAACATCAGTCACAATAGAGGCACACACAAGAAATGGCTCATCCTTACTCTTTCAGAGGCCCTTCTTGAAGGTCATATGCTACAGGTACCCATGGATTGGCTGCCTCATAAGAATGTATTTTTTTCCAAGCACGAGTTAGGAACAGAAGCCCCATCATTCTCTTTGCCTGGAAATACTCTTCCTAAATGTGCAACACAATTTTATTTTGCTAATGCTCAGAGGTACTTCTGGTGGCCATTATTATTAATGGCGATGATGATATTGATGACGACGATAACCAGCCTATGTTAACGGAAGTCTCACAGTCCAGGGATGTATAGCTGGATGATAATGTTGATAAGCAACCATTGAACCTGTGGCTGGAATTAGGCCACCTTCAAGCTGAAATGGAGGGATTCCTATGCTTTATCCAACACCAACTTACCTATACTAGATACAATCAGAAAACAATTATGAAGCAAGATGTAAGTGATATATGTAGGGTCACTCATCAGTCCAAAAAAACAGCTCATCATTTCACAGCTGGATGCCCTTAGCTGGCTTCATATATGTTCAGTCATAACTAAATACAGTATAATTTGTCAGCAGTTGGCTAGATCTTTTGGATTACTCATATCCTTTTCTGCATATTATAAATTTCATCTACTGCCAGTTTGGAAAAATGGGACAATCAAGTTATCGTGGATAAAACAGTTGAATTCAATTAGCTGCATTTCTGAATAAGCACCAAAGAAAAACATACCTCATAAAAGTTGGGAGTGTCATCAACGAGCAACCTCAAAAGTACAGAAAGTATAAAAATTGCAGAGTACCAAACATTAATGCAAGAAATTAAATGAGTATGGAAGCAAGGTCAGATTATCCTCTTCATACAAATTTTAGCAACTGGAATTATTTTTAAAAAAATGGCTATCAGTTCAAAACAATTCCCAACACCTAATTTGTTTCCTGAAATTCAAAAAAAAGTGATTTTTTTCCCAAACATGTCATCTCACCTGCAGAATTTTGGCATTTAATTCCTAATTTTTGAGCTTGCCCCTTTGACCCATCCCCAGGCACCAGCAATGCTGAGAAACAGGCAAAAAGGGGGCTCAAAACAGAACTGGCAATCATCATCAAGCAACAGCATGCTCCCTTCTCTCTCTCCTGCTGGTCTCTCAGTAAATATACAGAGCCACCTATTGCATTAACAGTATTCTTGATTGGCTTTTGAAAACAGCCATGCAAAGTGCACAACTTGCATTGTGCAGCTTGCGTGCAAGCAACACACTGCCTGTAGTCACAAGCAAGAGCTGCCAGTTTTCCAAAGGGTGATTCCTGTGTAAAAGATTATTATGAGGAATATAAATTTCCTGGAAATCTTAGACACCAGCACCTGTGGAAAATGGGGAGTGTAACATGGGAAGGCCATGGGGCAATGACTATGTGATGAAATTAGCTACTGTTGCTTGGGTGCTGGGAAGCACTTCTGTAGCTTGTTTCACTTTTTCTAAAAGAAAGAACTGAATATCTCTTCTCTGCCGTTTTTCCATAACTCTAACCTCTGGCATTATTGTGATAATATGATTTCTATGCTTGCTGCTCCAATTGTTTGTTTAAAATATTTTTACCCACCTTTCTCCTTTAAAAGGACCCAAGGCAGCTTATTGCATTAAAAAGACCATGTTAAAAAGCAAAAGGAGTAAGTAGACAAATATTGAAAAAAGAATTTTATAGATGTAATGGAAACAGTAAATGAAATTAATTCTAAAAACACCTTTAACAACAACAAGGCACAACCATCCATTTAAAATACCCTCTCAGACAGCCAGTCCCTCGAGGAAGCCCTGCTTGAAGAAGAAGGTCTGAATATATTTGCAGAAAGACACAAAAAAATGAAGCCCAACTTTGCTTTCATTCTGCGAAATGGCCAGGACAGGCAGAACGGACACCTGTTAACTGCTCTTACCAAATCCACTCAGACCTAAAAAAACAAAAACAAAAAAAACAAATTAGAACACTTGAAAAGTTTCTGCTATAAGCATAGGAAAATCTTGCTTTTATCAACCATATATACAGCTGTCATTTTAAAAAGTAGGTTTTTGAGCTCTGGCTGGGATTGGTGGAAGAATTTTAAACAAAATTATTTACAGCATAGTCTGATCCAATATGTATTCTATTCATTTAGAGGCACTTACTCCCATTCCAGATGGGTATGTATAGGACTG